AGATTGTCGGTGGCCTTGAGTCATTTTTGATTACTATTTGATAGGTGTTCCGGTCACCTAGGATACTTTCCAATCTCTCTCTATACTGTCTTCTGTCAATTACAATCGTCGCTCCTCTCCTATCCACCTGAAGAACTATCTGATCATTCTTTTGTAATTTTTTCCATATACCAATCAATCTGCTCCTGTTTATCGGTTCTTGATGTGCCAGGATCCGTGGGACTATTTCCATTTCCATCTCCCGCTTCGTCTCTTCCGGATATTTATCCGACTATTGACAACTGCCACGAGAATATTACTAAGAACGTTTCCTTCGTTACCTATGGAAAAATTAACCTCTTCTTTAAGAGATGCATGGTTTCATAATAAATAGGTTTATCACCTCAGCCCTATCGTCCTTTGTAGCAGTTGCTGCCTTCAATACAGAACCATCAAAATCTTCCCGGGTTGGCTTGGCCTTGAGTTGTCTTATCATCCCATAGCTAAGCAATTTCTTGTCATTCCGCTTATTTAATAGATCCCGGAGCCTCTGTGACTTCGGATCCTTCATGCTCTGGAGTTATGAAAATCAACTGAAGTGAAAATCCTGCCTAGATCCCTCCTTAATTGAGACTTGATATCTATAAACTTAAATAGATTCCGCCTCTCAGTCTCGTAAGTGTCCTCTAATTTCTGGATGGAGGCATGACAAAGTATTTCATTAACTGTGTCCGAATGACATTTCCTCATTAGATTGCAGAATCAGGGAGCGATACCATAATGTTTGCAATAATTCAGAAAGGTCAAATTGCAGGATTGACTTACAATTGTCTTTTTTGTCCGGCTGTAATCAAGGCACTGTTTGACAATCTTACTTCCATAGCTTAATCGACGGTATAAAGACCAAGATGGTGTGGCGTTTTTTGTGGTCGCAGTCTCATTTCGTTGTATAAACCTTGTTTTTGCAACTTGATCATATGGGTAGAAAGACTTAGAGGAGCGCACCTAGTCCGGAGTGCATTGTATGCATGCTCATTTCCAAATTCCGACCGTGGACGTGGTACATTCCCATTCTTAGCATGACACAACAACTCGTCAAAGAGACAAGTAAAGCCGATCCTTTGACCAAGCGTGTGCTAAACAATTGTGGTATCACCCTGTCGGCCCTGGGCTATTCACATTTCCTATATCCTCCTATCATGCCTATACTATCACGATTATTACTTGCTTATTTACATATTGTATCGTGTGCCCTTTTGAGCGGCTTTCACGAGAACTCTCCACACTCCACGCTGTCTTTCTCACCCCCTCACCCTTATTCACCCTTGTGCTGAGAATGTTGATCATAGTCTGTCATATTGTTATGCTGTCCTCTTTTCATAGGATTAATCAGTCTCCCTCTTTCCCCAGAGGATCCGTCTGCCATCTTCCTGGTTCAAGTATTTCACTCGACCCCTGCCAGCCCATCCCTGCTACTCGAGGCGTTCTTTCCCATGTTCTGACTCTGCGAGATTAACTTGGGACTACAGTTCCCGAGTATTTCTCATGGTCAAGCCATTGCTTCATGGACCACGTCTCTGGTAGAACAGACCTACTGTCAGCCGACTAGCGTCAGTCTTCGCCGCGTCTATCCTGTTGCTATTCTTAATACCAAGTCTATGATTTCTGGTGCCCTGGTTTCTTGTGTGCCAACCCACAAATGTTGTGGTACTGCTTGCTTTGATTAGGTTCAATGTTGAACCACAACATTTGCGAGTTGGCACACAAGAGACTAGGGCATAAGACCTCATAGACGCATGGAAAGAGGATAGACGCGGCGGAAACTGGAGCTAGTTGGCTGACTGTAGACGTGTTTTACCATAGACGTATTTCATGAAGCAATGGCTTGACCGTGAGCATTACTCGAGGTCTTTGGACTCAATTTAGTCTCCTCTAGTCAGAGTGTATGAAATAACGCCTCAAGTAGCAGCAGAGATTGGGTTGCAGGGGTCAGGTGAAATACATGAACCAGGGAGTTAGCAGGCTTATCTTACGAGGCAAGAGGGAGATTGTGATAAGACCTAGGGCAGGAGGACTGCGTAACAATATGGCAGACACTAGTCAACATTCTCAGCACAAGAGTGAAGGTGTGTTGAGTGGTGAGAAAGACAGTGCGGACTGTGGAGAGTTCTCATGATAGTCGCTAAAAAGGGCACATCTAACCCCATTTAAATAATTAATAAAAATTTTGAAAGTGAAGGCGTGATACGAGGATATAGGGATGCTGAATAGCCCAGGGAGACAGGAGAGATACCACAACCGCTTAGTGCACAATTGGTCAAAGGATCAACTTCCCTTGTCTCTTTGGCGATTTGTAGTTGGTTGCTAAGACTGGAAGGACTCATTGATGATGCCGACTACGATGCCGGCGAAACATCAGAAAATGTTCCACATCCACGGTCCGACTCTGGAAATGATCATGCATACAATGATCTCCGGACCAGGTGCGCTCCACCGATATGACCAAGTTGAAAAAACGAAGTCAAACTCCTACAGTATGGAAGTTGTTTGACCTTGTTTTCGCAACTTGGTCATATTGGTAGGAAGACTTATGGGAACGCACCTTGTCCTGAGTCCATTGTGTGCATAATTATTTCCAAAGTCGGACCGTGGACGCGGTACATTCCCAAACGTTTCGCCGATATCGTAGTCGGCATTGTCAGTGAGTCTCGCCATTCGTAGCACCATATTACAGTATGGTTAATTTGTTTAATAATTATTATATTAGAGCCTTTATTTTAGCAAAGAACTCCTTATAGCACGTTTAAACAATATTTTATAGTCCGAAGTGGGCTGTGATTTTTAGTTCATGAGGGACATATTGGTTTTCTTTAGTAGACTGTAGCTTAAATCTTCCCGTTTCTATTGCTGTCAATAAGCAGCTCTAAAATTATTCCCGTGCGAAGTTTACGCACAATTTTCTTAAACTACTCACTTGAACATTTTTTTCCTTTTATTTAATAGGGCCACTAATGAGCTCGCCTGACTACCAACCAATTAATTCACCTTTATCTAGACGTGCTAGTGAGAGACCCCATGGTCACGTATCAGCCTCTGAAAAGCAGCAAAGTTTATTTCTTGAAAGTCTGTCAAGTATAAAAAAGAGGTCTTCAAAAAGAGAAGCTTTCCAATTAAGTCGGAATGAAACAAACTTCTTGATGATGAAGGTAAAGATAAATAAATTTCATCCTGGATTGAAGAGCAAACAATAATCTGCTTTCAAACATTTCCGAGTCAGACTCATCAGATTGGCTTGCCTTCCAGCGCTTCCGGTGGGAAAGTTATGCCCAGAGTGTCAATTTCCGGCCCGGAGTTTTGTCATAGAGACTTGGGAGAGGCTAAAGAACGTCTACTTCCGGAAAAGTTAACTCAGAAGAACTTATTGACCACAGATTGGCGAAAGCAGCCTCTAAACAATGGTCACTCTCACCACCGACGCCAATGTGCTTCAAATGTACACTCCTTCAATAATGAAGCATTAAGGGAAAACGTTGAAAAACATGAAAAGAAAAAAGAAAGGGATGTCAGTTGTAACCTTACCGGTGATATGGCAAAAAAGCAGGTTGACCGGGAAAGAAGTGCTTCAAAGAAGACTAATCCTGCGTTGCTAAGTAAGCACCCATTAACTGTACCATCAATTCCTGCATCAGAATATGACAAGTGTGATATTCACTTATCTCACCTTCGTCGCCGACCGACGAAGCAGAAACCACAGCAAATGTGGTGCAATGTTATCGAAGAACAGGCTTCTGTGCAGAAAACGATACAATCAGAGCCCCAAAAGCTTCACTCTCATCTCACTTCGACCAA